ACTACATAACAAGCAGCGAAACTCCGTACCGTAGAAAGGCTTCGAAAAATTTAAAGAAGATATAAATTTTAATGGCTCGGAATGAAGTTTACGACGAATTATGTCAGATGGAAATAGAAAACAAAAAATTATCGGAACCTGGTAATTGAAAAAGTTACATTCGATTACTAAGAATCGAATATCTTCAAAAAATAATTAATTATAGACAATAAAGAAGACCGAACCGACCGAGTTATAAACTACACCGATGAGAGCCCTATGTCGACTCATCACGATGATAGCGACTCGGGTGATGAAAACAGTGATGATGATGATGGTCAAGATTATGATAACGAAAAAAAAATTACAAATACCAACTTCGCTTCAACTGAACCAAGACCTGGCAACAGCTCTAGTTTTTACTTAATAGAAGGAATATCTATTTTACCCCAAGATTCAATTATTAAAATTATTAACCTATATTTTTGTTGATTTTCTAATAAATATATAAATAAAGACATATGTTGATTTTAATAATTTAATTGCATTATGACGCAGAGTAAATAATGTTTTTGCACGTGAGTGTACCATGCGCGAACTTACCCCCACTACGTCAACAAATGCTCAAGAAGTTTGCCGGCTATTATAGATTATTGAATATACGCTTATGTTACGAATTATACGCTTTTTTACAATAAAATCATTTTTTCTTACACTATTTTAATTCAAATTTATTAAAATTTATTTTCTATCGTTTAGTTGGATTTTCTCTAAAAGCGTATTTTTTTAGTTTTTTTAAACTATTACTTATTTTTCTTTTTTAGTTAAATTTCAGTTTATTCAATATATTTTTTTATGTTGAATTGTCATCGGTAATTAATAAGTATACCAAATTTCGAGTTCATCCAACGTTTTGAAGGGGGTCAAAAACATGTTCAAAGATTCCGTTACGTCTGAAGCTAATAAAAGCGAATTAAAATAGAAAAAACTCATTCATTCGAAATAATAAAATTGTACTGAGAGATACGTCTGATGTCGAAAAAAGAAAGCGGGAAACCTCGACATCACCCAATATTATGCATACACTTAGACACACCAGAAACTCGAAACATATTATTGCACCACCAAAATTACACAAAACCAATGCATTCGAATATATGAGGGCAAGATCATCCTCTTTCAGTGAAAAACAATCTCAACTTTTTGAACCATGGGAATTATCAGACACCGGTAACGAAATCGCAACTAGAATAGGAAAACCATCCAGTACACATAATGAAAACTCCAATACGGCTGGTCACCGTGTAACGGTAAGCGTTACACCAACCGGTAGCCACAGTGGAGAGTATGAGTTCTAAAAAAAATTCTCAAGGCGCCTTTAAATAAATAAATAAAATGAAGTGCAGTCACAACAAAACATATATTAATTTAAACACACAAATACACAATAAAAGGAAATAACTATACAAAAAGAACACTTAAATTACTTATCTAGATTGTTATAAAAGGTTTATATAATTACAAAATTAAATGATGGTAAATCGTATGATAGTTTTGCGTCGAAATATTACAATAAAGAATGATACGTATCTTTTAAATTATGGTGATGTAGAAGACTAGGATCCTGGGGTCTATCGATGATACTCCAATTCCTTGGCGTCAGTTGAATAGAATTAGGATCAGATTTTGATTCCGGGACGTTACGGGACGTTCCACCGGAGCGTATTCCAATTGCAATAAAAAAGTCTCGATTGACGGGACTATTGGAACCCGATCTTACAAATCGGGCACTAATAATTAACTTGAATGTATAATATTCGTATACAGTTAACTATAAGCGTATTCTGACCTTTCCTTCGACTGTAATAAAGGAAAATTACAATACAATTATTTATATGATTTATTCTATCAAGTAATTGCACTGTGGAAAAGTGTTATCCCTACAATCAATCATTTCTGCACACTTCACTAAACTGTTAATATGAATCCACTGGAATCTTCACTGACTGATATGTCAGAGCTGTTTAATGCACGTATGTTGAAGTTTGAAGCTCAGCTCAACAAGTCTTCAGAACCCTCAATCGCAACGGATTTTTTGTCATTTCGGACCACACAAGGTCTACGGAAAAGGAATAACATAATGTAATAAAAATCAAACCCGCAAAATTGTGATTTGCGTAATTACTGGTGGTAGGACGTCTTGTGAGTCCGCACGGGTAGGTACCACCTATTTCTGCCGTAAATCAGTAATGCGTTTCGGTTTGAGGGGTGGGGCAGCCGTTGTAATTATACTTGAGACCTAAGAACTTATATCTCAAGGTGGGCGGCGCATTTACGTTGTAGATATCTATAATTGCTGGCCATTATAAAATAAATTGCGCCCATACCTGAGATATCTTATCTCACATAAGCTTAGTATACAGATACGCAGATGACGTTGAGTCTACTCCTGCTTAGGGCAGCCAAAGTCATTAATGCGTATGTTTAATTACTGTAGAAACGGCCACAACAACAATTGCAAAAAAACTTATGAAATCAATCAAATAGTTTTGTCTGTACATATTAATGTTTGTTGTGAATTAAAAGCGATATTTTATGTGAATTAATGTTTTTGTAATCAACAACAAACGAAAATAGATAACCAGAACGACATGTATTCAACAGTGCACACACGCAAATGCAATGCAATGTGCTAAAAGTATTTTAAATAGAGTAGCAGTAGTAGTATTCTACTCACCACATTTGCATTACCAAGAGTAGGCAATGAATATATCGGTATCGGAACTGAGCTAATCTTCAGCTATGTGAGGGAAGCAAACAGCCAAACCTTGGTTGTTCTGAAAGTTGTTTTCTAGAAATTCTATTTCTCGATGTCTTATTGTTACAAAATGGAATCTTGTGTGTCATACAACTACTTTTATTGAAAGCAAAGAGGTCGTTTACCAGCGACTTCAGCAAATCAACATAATCAATCAGACTTCAATACTTAATAGACAGTAAAAAGCATACGCATAAGCTAAAGGAACAGTTGCTACGTCTTCGAGACTCCAGTGATATGGGACTGGCCACAACAGACTAGGGTGAGGTCGAAGATAATTTTGACAATAGGGAAGTGGAAAAATGCTAGGGAATACCGTTCTCACGCTTGATGGAGAGAAGCAATTCGGTGGGAGTAATGAAATCATCATCTCCCAACGGTGCCACTTTTATTTCTTAATTATATCACGCTACACATTAAGGAATAAACACCAAAAATCAAAGCTTTGTACCCAAAGGTAGAATTACCAGTTTCAGCAGGGACACCCATGCTATCGTAATTGGTTGAATGGATGCACCTACAGAAATGGTAGGATGAAAATTTTAAAATCATAATTAAGAATTACTATTCAGTTTTTTTTTATCCTATAGATAAGCCATAACTGCCTTGGCTCACTGGTTTCAAGTAGTTATCGATGCAGATGCCACCGCTCAACTTGAAACACGAAGTGTAAGTCTCAATATATCGTTGTAACGGCCGATCATCCTTCAAACCAAATCGCATGAGGCTGTGGCATCTACCTACACACACAAACACACACAGACACACACTAGCACACTTACTATATACATACATTGTCATTTATATAATATATATGTTTACGCTATATGCAATGGATAATTAGCATTGATGTTTTTGAACGTAACTGNACGGTATTTGCAGTGGAGTGTGCGGGGAGACAACCCCGCTCCGGCGCATCGTTCCAACCGAGAGCGATTCTCACGACTTCACGCAGATCGCATGTCGCCTATCGATAACTTACTGATTCCGTAATTCTTTGTTTCCTGTATGTTTTATTTAAATTCAGTTTCCACCTTACAATCTATCTCCTATTTAATTCTATGAACTAATTATTCTTCATCTGTGCTGTGCTACCTGTTTGTGCGTGTTCAACTTGTTGTATGTAAATAAATATTAAACCTGGACCTTTAGTGATTAACTTCATTGACTTTGTGGTGCAATTTAAATTCATAAAAACTATTTAACCTAAAAGGCTTTGTGGCAGAAATGAGCCTGTGGTCACCCATCAGGGCGCGCCAAAGTCCGCAAGTCGTTGTTACATTAATCTATGTAATTTATGGTCATGTCATGAAGTAACACGTGATTTTCTTAAAATTTCACATTATATTACTGAATACCAGACGTTCTAGATGTTGGGCCGAAAACGCTGAAGCTTTCATTCTTCAAAACTTTTCTCATATCATTATAAAGATATTGACTTTAACATTGAACTGCAGGTATGTTCCAAGCCACAAATTACTGAAATAATAACTTGTGCATAATATCAATAGTTATTATTATTTTGATAATATCCTGAAACGCTTTTTTTACAATAAAATCATTTTTTCTTACACAATTTTTAATTCAAATTTATTAAAATTTATTTTCTATTTTTTAGTTGGATTTTCTATAAAAGCGTATTTTTTTTGATTTTTAAACTATTATTTATTTTTCATTTTTTAGTAGAATTTCAATTTCTTCAAAAATTTTTTCAATTTATTAATCATTGGTACTTTAATTAGTCGGTAATTTCTCCGAAAAATAGGTGATCGGTGCACTTAGTAGTTTCTCTTCTTGGTCTTGACGCAGACACTCCAGGTCTCAGGAAAACAAAAAATCGCTAATCCTGATTATCAGAGAATCAGGATAATTAAATTAACTGTTTAAAATATTGAATTGTCATCGGTCCTTAATAAGTATGTCAAATTTCGAGTTAATCTGACGTTTTGAAGGGATCAAAATCATGTTCACAGTCGCCCGCCGGCAGCCGAACAGAGCGGACGGGTATTTGGACGTATAACGTATATCTATCTGAATACTCGAGTGATTGCGCACGTGTCTATAATTTGGTTTTTGTTTTATTCAAATATTGTTTTGGGTTACCTTCAATCGAGGACGGAATTATTGACTAAATCGGGACTGCGCTCGGGCGCAGTCCGTCCGTATTCGTGTACGAGTGTGTAAAGTGTACGACTATAATCCTAGTGCACTATGAGTGAAAAAGCAAACGAGACTGTTGAGAGCAACAAGATGGAAGCTAATATGAGTAGACAAAATATGGAAGATGAACGAATACAATCAAGAAGGAATGAAGACGAAGAAAGTATTGATGAACAGCACAATAAATCTGGAGAAGTAGAAGAAGAAGACTTGATGGAGACTGAGTACAATATTAGACAAAATGAAGAGAATGAAGAAGACTGGACAGTAGTAAAGAGGTCCAAGGCAAAACGCTGGAAACCGAACTCCGTTGATGTTTGCATCTCGAGCAAAAATCAGCTACCAAAACAATTCGCATTGGCCAAATTATTTCATCGACTTAATATTGGTGGTATAACTCGTGTGAAATATATTAATGCTTTTAAAGTCCTTCTAGCATTTGAGGACATAGCTTTTTCCGAAAAATTCGCGGCATGTCCTGAAATTCAAGAACAAGGCTGGAGGATTCAAAATTCATGGGAAGTAAATATCTCTTATGGAATTGTCAAAAACATGGAAATAGGCATATCTGAGGATGACCTTATGGAAAACATTAGGACCAGCAATAATTGCGAAATAGTAGCGATCAAACGATTGAATAAACGGAACCCGGCTTCGCCAGGATGGATAGACAGTGAAACCATTCGCCTCAGCTTCAAGGGTAACTCACTTCCGGAATATGTATATTTATTCAATACAAGGGTAAAAGTCGAAGCATATATTTTCCCCGTAACACAATGCTCAAATTGCTGGCGTTTTGGTCATAGTGCCAAATATTGTCCTTCTACAAAAATATTCTGCCCTAAATGTGGGAAACATCACCCTAATTGCGAGACCAATTCCTTCAAATGTATAAATTGTAAAGGTAACCATATGGCCCTAGCTAAGACCTGCCCAATATATTTGAAGGAAAGAAGAATAAGAGAAATCATGTCGGAATTTAACTGTACGTACCGCAAGGCTTCATTGATGTACGTACCACCTTTTTCACCAGCTGTTCACAGAGAAACGAGCGAGAATATCACTTATACAATGCAGAACACTACCTTTCCTACTGACCCACGTAATAAGAATTCATATGCATCCGTCGTGTCTAAGATAACTCAAGATGAAAATAATACACTTTTTTCTAACGAACATTTGAAGAGTTCCAAAAAAAATAAAAGAAAATCTAAAAAAAGGAAGCAACGTTTTTCGTCGGATCAGTCCATTCATGATTGGGATGCGTCATCACAAGCGTCGGAGACCAGCTCTGATACTAGTGGACCTATCAAGGAGGGAAATCAAGACGCGGGGCAGGGGGGGTCCTGTCACCCGCATATACCTTCTACTTCAACGACGCAAGATCCTAAACCACAAACGACACTACACGATACATCTAAATATTTTCGACGTGACCGTACTAGGAAGATTCACTCGGGGTCTGATATTTCAATTATGGAGGTTCTGTACAAACTTAAAGAGGTAGTATTTTGCAGTAATAAGCCTTGGAGTGTTAAATTCAAACTATGTATCAATTATCTATTAGACTGGACGATTAATGTAATGTTAATTAATTTACCAGATGCATCAACGTTTAAAAAGTGGTTTACTTTAATTTTCGATTCTATCAATGGCTAACGGATCTGACAAAATAATTAATTTTAAACTAATTCAGTGGAATGCACAAAGTTTGAGGCCCAAGCTTCTAGATTTCAAACATCTTTTAAATCAAGAAAAAATTCATGTCGCTGTTGTTAGTGAGTGTTGGTTGGAGCCACAAAGCGAATTAAGAGTTAGTGGTTACAATATTTTTAGAAAAGATCGGTGCGATGGTTACGGCGGTGTCTCAATTTTTTGTCACAAATCCATTAGATCACAATTAATACAAACTAACATAAATTCTGGGATAGAAATTATTTCTGTTAGGCTATTTAATTGTAATTATCTAGAAAGTATTATTGGAATTTACTGCCCACAATCGGTACGTACAACCCGTAGAGATTGGGAAGCTATCTTTTCCCAATTTACCAGTAACACTTTAATTTTGGGGGACTTTAATGCCCACCACCTGACCTGGTCATATAAGACAGATAGCAGAGGGTCTCAACTGTTTGACATTGTAAACGAATGCAATTTAATTTCTCTAAATGATGGTAGTCACACACGCATTAAATTGGTAGCTGGAAATTTACAATGTAGTAGCCCTGATATATCTTTCGCCTCTCCAGATATAGCTTTCAAATTTAATTGGCAAGTATCAAATGAGACTTTAGGAAGCGACCACCTGTGTATTAAAATTTCATCAGCATTTCGTTGTTCTTCAAATTCTTTTAAAAAACGAAATTTTAAAGCAGCCAATTGGACAGAATATAGTAGCCTGTTAACGGACTCTTTCGCTGAATTTACTCTTCCGGATGATCCTTTTACTGGTTATAATTTATTTATTGACACGATCAATAAAGCGGCAGATAAGTGTATCCCATCTATTAAGTTTTGCACAGATCCTTGTGCTAAGTTTGCCCCAAAACCTTATTGGAATCCAAATCTATCTAAATCTATTGCTTTACGTAGACGCGCGCTTGCTACTTTTAGGAAAAATCCTATTCCGTCAAATTTGATCATTTTAAATGACTGTATTAGGGAATCACAAAAACTTTTAAGGAAAGCTTCTGGAGAACATTGGCACGAATTCTGTGATTCCTTAAATGAAGTTTCACATACGAGTGAGTTGTGGAGCAAAATGAAATGGCTGAAGGGATACAAATCAGAGAGAGCTTACGTTGACCCAACTAAAGCCGAAACGCTACTTAATAATTTGTGTCCTCTGTTTGTTCAATCATGTCAACCTATATTCGTTTCATCGAATCCTTTCTTAGAGGCTCCAATTACTTTAAATGAGTTAGAGGTAAATATAAAATCAAAAGATACCGCCCCTGGATGGGATGATATATCATTTTCTATGATTAAGCGATTACCTCTTAAAGGCAAACAAATACTGCTCTCTTTGTACAATAGCTTTATCTTTGGAGGCATTATTCCTGATCAATGGCGTGAGATTTATATTTTTCCGATTCCAAAACCAGGTCGTGATCCGTCCTCCGCTTCTTCTTTGCGACCTATTTCTCTTATGTCATGCGTGTGCAAAGTGTTTCATCTAATTTTATGTAGAAGATTGGAATGGTTTCTGGAAAAAAATAACATTTTCTCTAATGAAACAGTAGGTTTTCGTAAATCAAGGTCTTGTCTAGATGTTTTAAGCCGAATGGTTTCAAGAGTTCAGATTGGTTTTTCTAGAGACAATTTCACCATGGCTTGTTTTCTCGACCTGGATAACGCTTATAATAATGTTGAAATCAATGCTTTACTTAATAAACTAGATGGTCTTGGGGTAGGGGCAAAATTCTGTTTATATTTGTGGAAATTTCTAAGCCTACGGGTTTTAAAAATCAAAACTGATGACTCGTACATTAGCAGACATACAGGACGAGGTTTAGCTCAAGGCGATCCTTTATCACCTCTATTGTTTAACGTAGCAACTTACAAAATTTGTCATATTATTCAAGATATATGTGTAGCCCAATATGCTGATGACTTTGTCCTCTATGTAACAGACAGCGATATGAATACGGCTAGAAACCGTCTGCAAAGATCTCTCAACCTTGTAATAAAAAATCTAGATGAATTGGGCCTTAACATTTCTGCTACAAAAAGTAAAATATGTGTTTTTAGAAAAGGCCGGAAGGTATTACAAGCAAATATTTTAGTAAATGGTACACCACTGAGCGAAGTAGATAGTTTTAAATACCTTGGTTTGTGGATGGATAGATCTCTGAGATGGAATAAGCACATAAATGAACTTTATCAAAATGTTTGTAAATTTCTTAACGTTTTTAAAGTGTTAGCGGGGTCGGGATGGGGAGTCCACCCTGCTCATCTTCGCAGGCTATATATATCAATCATACGAAGCCGTCTAGATTATGCAAGTTGTTTCTATGATAACAGCTGTGATTCAAATTTAGTTAAACTCAGTAAAATTCAAAATCAGGCAATGCGCATTATAGGAGGCTTTGTTAAGAGTACTCCAATACATGTTATGGAGAGCGAACTTTGTTTACCACCTCTTCAGACTCGTAGAAGATATCTAGCTGGAAAATTATGGCTTAAATCTAAATCAATAACAGGCAACACCTCTATTGTACTATTAGACCAACTCAATTCCCTTATGTCTTCTAGATATTGGAAAGACAAAAAGACACCACTGCTAGTTTGTATTCATAACAGTTTCCGCAACATAGTCATCCACTGTAGAGATCAGTTAGGAATGTTCGCTTTAAGATTATGGATCAGTGCATACAACCTATGCGACCTAATTAAACTTAACATTGAAGGAATGAATGAGCCTAAGCGTAGTTATAACCATTTTATGTTACGTAACAGCTGCGTACGTCATCTAGAGAACCACTATTCATCCTACTACCATTTGTATACAGATGGATCAATAGAAAATAATCTAAATATGGGAGCTGCTATATTTGACCCACAAACCGGAAATTGTATGAAATTCAATATTATCTCAGATGTACGAGTGTCAATTATGCACATAGAACTACTAGCAATTTTAGAATCTATATCATATGCTAGCTCAGTGGACTCTGATAAGTTTGTAATACTTACTGATTCTCGTAGTTCGCTGCAACACTTAAACCGATGCGTTTATGGTGTTAGGGGCAATCCAGTTGCTTATACAATTATTGAGCAGATATATAACTTAAAAGCGAACGGTAAAGAAGTGATATTGCAATGGATACCTTCTCACATCGGTTTGTGTGGCAACGAAAGGGTGGATAAGTTAGCTAAGGAAGCTTCTAGTGATGGTGTACCATTGAACATAGTTCCTAATTATACCGATTGTGTCAACTTAGTAAGAGAGGAATGTTATCGTCTATGGAAGGTATATTTCGATGAAAGGTCTTTGGAAAAAGGCGTGTGGTACAAAACAATTCAAAGTCTACCATGGAAAACGCCATGGTTTGATTCTTGTAACCTTAATAGAACCACCCTAGTGACTGTTTTCAGACTTCGTTCCGGGCACATCCCACTCAATAAATTTGCTCATTTAATGGGGAAGGCTCCTGATCCCAAATGTTCAGTTTGTGATGTAGTGGAAGACGCTTTTCACATTATGATGGAGTGTGCGCGGAATGATGATTTGAGACAACAATTCTTTGCAAAACATACAGATTTCCGACAAGTTTGAGGTGTAAATTGCGTATTAGCCTTTCCGGAATCCGAAATGGCTAAGTCACTTTATAAAATAGTGTTAGTGGGCCTTCAGAGACGATAACAGTTTTCTTTATTTTTTTATATAATTTTTTGTTACTATCTTTTGTTGCACAATGGAGTGACATATTCACTAAGTGAATAATCTCCTTAAATAAAGATTAAAAAAAAAAAAAAAAAATCATGTTCAAAGATTCCGTTACATACTCGTACTAACATACATATGAAGCTAATGTGGCGAAACCTTTGGATCCGTCACGCGCATGCGCGGCTCAAAAATTCCGGAGCCCATAATCCCCGCCATAAGAAAAAGCCATATTTTTACATAAAATAAACATTGTATTATTTTATTTAGAGCCGGTTTTACTTAAGCATCCTAAAATGGTGACCCCCGATATGAAATTAATTATATTATTCAATCAACGCAATGCGACGAACTAGTGATCAACATTCATCATTGTCAAATATTTTGTGCGTCATACCACAATTTGTCCAAGTTTGGATAATGCGAGTATTAATACAGATGAGTCTATCGTCCATCAAGTCACATTTTTTTTTTGGATTGGTGAGCCTTTATGCTGATTTTCCGTTGTTTTGGTCTACATCTTATTCTTCCTTGGAGTGGAAGACATCATGGAGAACACCGATGAAAACCATTCAGATTAGTCTAAGAGTCTAAGAATATCTACAATAATTTGGTCTATTTATGCTGTACCTACAGTTCCTGTGATTTTACGGCGATCAGGACTTAGTGAAGCGATGTGCGTAGTTTGAATAAAAAACAAAAAGGATTGTGTGGTTTTATGAAACCACGGTAAAAGTTTCATTTTTTTCACATTATAGACATTTAACTAAAAATTTTTGGAATAATATTCCATTAAGGGTATAAAAATCACTTTATAAATCTTAATTTTATAATAGGTTGGGGAAAAAATCTTTTCGCATTAAAGTATGTATGAACGTGTAATAAAATCTCTTTGGCTATACTATTTGTATCTGGCTGGTTTTGGTATCACTAAAGTTTAAATTTTAAAAAAGATAATTCCAAATTCACATTAGGAAAATGTGTGATTTTTATTTATTTTTCGTACTGTCAAGATGTATCTAATGAAGAAATTCGACAAATTTTAAAATTTTACTACAAAAAAGATAAATTGCAACGCAAGCCGCGAAAAAAATTTGGGATGTTTATGGACCTAGTGCAGTGTATGTGAGAGTAGCACAAATTTGGTTTAAGCGTTTTCAATCCAGGAATTTTGATGTCAAAGATGCACGTCGCTCTGGTCGCCCTATTACGGATAAAATAGATGCCATTTTTGAAAAATTCGAGCAAGACCGGCATATCAGTAGTTAAGACGTAGCTGAAGAACT